ATCATGTCAACGCTGATTATACTTGTAGCGCTCACCCCCGAAGGAGCCGCTGGATATGAATTGAGGTTCTCCTACCTGTTTGCTCCAGCCACCGGTCCCCTTTGTTTAGCAACAGCACACCGACACTCACGGACAGAATGGACTCCAGTCTTAGGGTCTTTTTATTTATTTGCAAGGATTAACAGGAGAGAGGATTTGGGGTCTGTAGGATGCCCTTGGGGTTTTCTTCAGAGGACTGCTTCCTCCTTTAGCAACCGCTAAGGCTCATGGCACCGGGATGCGGTCGGGGTGACCAATGGTTTCTTTAACAATACTGCGACCAGCCAGGATGGTCCGGTAACTTATAGGAGAACAGTAGCTATCTCTGGACTCAGGTAAGAACCGCTGGCTTTTTCTATAACAGACTCCTGGAATAGGGTGAGGGATCTCTCTTGCAGGTCCCAGACGGTCGCTCTCACTAGCTCCTCTGCGGCACCTCTCTACAAGAAGACTCCACCTCCATCCCAGCTTCCATCAGGTCTTTTCTCAGAAGTATTGGGAACATCTGTGCCCTCAGCATCTGCCACTTGCCACTCCAGAATGCCACAGAAGCTATAACATGGAGCATGAAGTGACCTCAGAGATTAATATGCATAATGACATTACCCCCCAAAAAAAACTGCACTGGAACGCGTCACAAATACCATAAAGTCACTTGCACTCACACTCACAATTTATAGATAGCAGTCAATCTCCTTTAAAGGGTTTCTAAAGCCTCTGGGTTTTTTTGCCTATATCTACTGCTAGCAAGCAGTAGATATAGGCAAAAAGTTTAAAACAAAAAACGATTTAACAGCGGTTTAAACTTACCTCGTTATCGCTGCACGCTCATAAACCGAGAATCCGGAACTGCTCGTGCGGCCGCAAAGGATCTTGGGGCGGGCGCATGCGCAGTTCGGATTCTCGGCCGGGAGACGAGGAGAGACGCAAGGTAAGTTTTTGGACGCGTGCACCCGCATGCAGACACCGCTGGATCAGAAGTGCCAGTAAGGACAGAGGAGTCAGCGCTGGATCGGACACCCGCCGCACCGCTGGAGGGACAGATGAAAACATCAGGAAAGAAGAAGAAGATCGGATTAAGAGACATCATTTAAGGTAAGTGCTAACATTAACATGGGGGGGAGGGAAACATTTTTTATCCTTTAATGTCACTTTAATGACTGAACATGATGTCACATAACAAAATGACGTTTCAAGACCAGGCAGTCCCTTCTTCAGGCAAACAAACACGGAAGGGACTGCCCAGTCCCGAAATGTGGCTTTGTTATGTGACATCATGTTCAGTCAATAAAGGAGATTGACTGCTATCTATAAATGGAGTGCGAGTGACTTTATGGTATTTGCATTCGACGTGCGGAGGCATCCGCGGTCTCTTTCGACACCCCCCAGTTTTTCATTTGGGCTCTATCTGGTCAGGAGTGCAATGGGATCTACTACATACAAATGTGTCACAAGCGCACCACGTTTGCAGAAATGTGTGCAGATCTGGTCTGGACATGGTGTGGCAGGCCCCCTAAATTTAATATGGATACAACAAAACCTTCCCTTGTGCACTAGGTAAAAATATTAATTAAAAGCAGTTGCATTTTCATTAAAATTAATTCAGGGCTCTGTCATACTAAGGGCTTGTTCACACCAAATCCGGACCAGATCTGCATTAGTTTCTGCACATGCAGTGCAGTGTGTTTTGCCGTGTTTTTGCCATGTTCCGAGACAGGTTTTTTTTTCTCCAGCCTAAAATGGGCTTTTAGTGCGTTCCAGAGCAGAAAAGATAGGGCATGCTGCAGTTTTTCCACATGCTCTGGAACTGAATGCTGCCAATGCTGTGAACTAGAGTCCAAAATACCATTGGAGTACTTTGGATGCATTTTTTATGCGTTCTGTAACTGCTCTGCATCTGCTCCACACTTGGTGTGAACAAGCCCTTAGGAGTCTTTATAAAAAAAAAAAATCACATGGGTTTTCATCTGGGGAAACTGCAGGTTCATTACTTCTGTGCTAGTAAACCAGCTGTTTTGAGAATGGGGCAAAAGCAAATGTTCTTAGTGTAGTTCCTCTTCTGGTTGAATGTTCTTCGGTAGTTACACCGATCAGCCATAACATTATGACCACCCGCCTAATATTGGCCCCCCTTTAGCCACCCTGTGCGGGGGAAGCCCTACTGCAAGGGTTAAGAACCCTCAACGCTAAAGGATGCCCCCTAAATCTTCACCTGAGCACAAAGGTATCCCCCTAAATCTTCACCTGAGCATAAAGGTATCCCCCTAAATCTTTACCTGAGCACAAAGGTATCCCCCTAAATCTTTACCTGAGCACAAAAGGTATCGCCCTAAATCTTCACCTGAGCACAAAGGTATCCCCCTAAATCTTCACCTGAGCACAAAGGTATCCCCCTAAATCTTCACCTGAGCACAAAGGTATCCCCCTAAACAGTCACCTGAGCTTGAAGATATGCCCTGTAAAGCTCCACATGAGCACTAGGGCATGCCCACTGATACTTTATCTGAACACCAAAAACGTTTCTTAAAATTACTAAAGTACTGTATGGCCTTAAACTTTACATGAATGATGGGCGAGAACAAAGAAGATCTCTGGCTGCCATGTCACCTAAGCATAATGTAAATATGACTTTCTATTACATCCATGGAGACTAAGAGGGTTATTCACAAAAGGGTGAAGAGTTTGGAGAAGGCAGGAGAAGTGAACAATCTAGGACAACATAGCGGAACTTGAAACATTCTCCTATTCGGCTCACTTTCCAGTTCAGCTATGTTGTCCTAGATTGTTCACTTCTCCTGACTTCTCCAAACTCTTCACCCTTTTGTGAATAACCCTGTAAATGACCATGAGGTCCTGATTATGGATATTGTTTGTAAGCTGTGTGGCGTTTACCTTTAAAGAAAACCTGTCATGAGACATACAGTACATAGATGGTCATTGTTGGCCTCCATTTGAAAATGTTAGTTTATTAGTTATCACCCTGATTCAGTTTTTTCCTGAGTAGCTTAACCAGAACAAATGCTGAGGGTAACCACTCTGCAGTAAATTCAATGGAGGCTAAATAGCATTGTCAGTCTGCAAGATGTACTCGCCAGATCACCAGGGGGTGTATTTATGAAAAATTTACAGAGCCAATAATCCTGCGAAACTGCATGTACATTCATTCTGTGTGAATGGGGTATATTTTCTCGCCAGGTCAAATAGAACATCAGGAAGATACCTCATTACGGCCACTACGTGGCGATGAGAATCATAGGAAATTTGGTTATCAGTGTCAAACAACAAAATCCCCAAATATAGTGCTTCGGTGGAACGCGTAGAAGGCTGGACCCATCACACGCTTATGAATGTTGGCAGGATACAAATGATGATGACAGTATGCATTCAGTCAAGTGTTATGAGGACATTGAAATTTGCGGGGTTTATCAAACCATTTTGTCAAATGTAATGTAACGATGAAGCACGGTAGAAGCACTTGGTGTTGCTGTATATTTTCATTGCCTGGGATTCTGTATATGTTTTATTATAGATGTTTTTTTAATCTTTTTCAATAAATACAGAACGTATTTCATATATTATATGTGTGGTTTTCCTATCCCTGTTCTCACACCTTTAAAAGCCTCATAAATGTTGATTTTGTTGTTGGATATGTAAGTTTTAGGGGTGTGGTGTCGTGTCTTCTCTGGTTCATATATATATTTTCTATGATCTGTTGATCAGTGGAAAAGTTCCCCACTTTATACTGCTGGTGGACATTGCAGTGCCCCCTTTATACTGCTGGTGGACATTGCAGTGCCCCCTTACGCTTGTGGACATTGCAGTGTCCCCTTACGCCGTTGGACATTGCAGTGCCCCCTTACCCTGGTGGACATTGCAGTGCCCCCTTACGCTGTTGGACATTGCAGTGCCCCCTTACGCCTGTGGACATTGCAGTGCCCCCTTACGCCTGTGGACATTGCAGTGCCCCCTTACGCTGGTGGACATTGCAGTGCCCCCTTACGCCGTTGGACATTGTAGTGCCCCCCTTACGCTGGTGGATATTCCAGTGCCCCTTATGTTGGTGGGCATTGCAGTGCCTCCTTATGCTGGTGGAAACTGTAGTGCCTCCTCACACTGGTAGTCAGTGCAGTGCCCCCTTACGCTGGTGATGAGTGGAAAGTTTTCTCTTACACTGATGGAAGCTACATTGCTCCCTTAAACTGGTGATCGGTGCAGTGCCTCCTTACACTGGTGAATGATGCAGTGCCCCCTTACCCTGGTGATGAGTGGAAAGTTCCCCCTTACACTGGTGGTTGGTGCTGTGTCCCCTTATATTGGGGGTCAGTGGGATAATTCTTCTCTTACACTGGTGGATTTAGGTGACACTATATTGAGGAGTTAAATCTTTGTTGTAAAGTAGTCACCGCTCCAAGCTCACTTCCGTGATGGGCTACAATCTCAAATATATATAGGGTGGGGAGGGGCCACGTCGATCTAGTGGCAACTCCCAATCTCGGATGCGCTCTTAAGGGCGCATGTGCGGACTATTGGCCCGTCGTATCTGCCCACGTCAGACGCCGTCAGTGGGACGGCGTGTGGGCTGCCCAATGTGAACATGAAGGGGGGACAGCTGGACGCTTCGAGGAGGGGAGTTCATCCCTGACAGTCAGAGGAGTCTCGATATTTTTGTTAGTAATTAAAGGTACTTGAATGTATTTTTAAGATTGAACTCCTGAGTTTAGTGTCCCTTCAAGTCTCTGTGCCCCCTTACACCTGAGGGAAAAGACCTGTACTTTATAGGTGGTCGGTGTGAAGGACTCATACCTAATAAGATCTCTGTGGGGCAGACAACCCCCATCCCTCCAGGTCCCCCCCTCAGACAGCCTGGTACATGGAGGAGGATTGAGAATTGGGGGTATGGTGGCACTTTAATGGTGCGTCCCTCCCCTCATGTGTGGTTGTGAATTCCCTCCTTCCTCAGAAGCCAACCGCTGAGCTGGTGCTCCGGGAGGAGGGAGGAGTGCAGGTGAAGAGGAGCCGGGGCTGATGACACGAATGGGAATCTAGAGGGCGACAAGAAGGGAGATTAGACGGAGGATTTGGTGGGGGCGGACTCCTCGTGATGAAGAATTAGAATCTAGCGGAGAAGGACGAGCAGTGTGCAAGGTTCTCTCACGGAGATGTCTGCACTGAGTAGTACGGAACACAGCCCGGCAGCGGGGGGCAGGGTGTTCTTCCAGACCCCACTGGCACCACACAGCTCCCGGGAAGGGTCGCCGCCGCCGCCGGTGGTTGCTCAGCACAAGCAGCAGCAACAGAAGAAGCAGCAGCAGGGCAAAGTGACTGTGAAATACGACAGGAAGGAGCTGAGGAAGAGGCTGGTGCTGGAGGAATGGATTGTGGAGCAGCTCAGTGAGCTCTATGGATGTGAGGTATAGTATGGGGGGGCTTCTATGTGCTGCCTTCACATCCCTATAGCGGATGGGGCTTCTGTCTGTAGATAGCTTACAATGTGTTCACCTGAGTACAAGCAAGGTAGAACATTCTGCCTCCGTGGTCTGTATTTCACCGTTATGTACTCATGTTCATGTAAATTTAGGGTACATTAGGGTGTATTAGGGTTCAGTAGGGTACATTAGGATGTATTAGGGTACATTATGGTATATTAGTGTAAACTGGGTTACATTCGGGCACATTGGGTTACATGGGGTTACATTAGGGCACATGGGGTTACATTAGGGCACATTGGGTTACATTAGGGCACATGGGGTTACATTAGGGCACATTGTGTTGCATTAAAGCACATTGGGTTACATTTAGGGCCGCATCTCCCACAAGGCCAACCAAGGCCCGGCCTTGGGGCAGCAGGGAGTAGAAGGACAACAGGGGTGTGGAATTCCTATCTCCCGACGCCTGGGACATGCAGTTCCGGGCGCCGAGCAGGTACTTGTTTTTTTACATTTAGCCCTGCTTTGGGCAAGCAAAGCTGAATGTACAGCGGTGAAGCTGCCACTTGTTTTATACAAGTGATCTCAGCGATGTCACCGAGATCACTCTGCCATTGTCCATGGGGGGGGGGGGGGGTGGCGGTTAGGGGGGCGCATTGAGGAACCTGGCCTTGGGGCAGCAGAGAGGATATATCCGGACCTTGTTACATTAGGGCACATTGGGTTACATTAGGGCACATTGGGTTACTTCAGGGTATATTGGGTTACATTAGGGCACATTGGGTTGTATTACAGTATATTGGGTTACATAAGTGCGTATTAGGGTACGCTGGGTAACATTAAGGTCCAATAGAGTACTTTGGGTAACATTAGGATATATTGGGGTATATTAGGAAACATAAGGGTACATTAGAGTGTATTGTGTATCATTGGGGTATATTGGGAAACATTAGGGTACATTGGGTAAGATTAAGGTACATTAGAGTTTATTGGGTATCATTACAGTACATTAGATATATTAGAGCACATTGGGTAACATAAGGGTACTAGGTTACTTTGGGGAACATTAGGGTATGTTACATTAGGGCATATTGTGAAACATTTGGGGTACATTAAGTATATTAGGATACTTTAGGGAACATTGGGGTATATTAGGAAACATTAGGGTACATTGGGTAACATTAAGGTATTAGGGTACATTGGGTAACAGAGTGTATTAGGTATCATTGGCGTACATTAGGTATAATAGGAAACATTGGGGTACATTGGGTAGCATTAAGGTATTAGGGTACATTGGGTAACAGAGTGTATTAGGTATCATTGGGGTACATTAGGTATAATAGGAAACATTGGGGTACATTGGGTAACATTAAGGTATTAGGGTACATTTGGTAACATTAGAGTGTATTAGGTCTCATTGGGGTACATTAGGGGAACGGTGTAGCCCCTTTCTTTCCTCTCCTGGTACTGTGTCTATATAGAGGTGAATGGCTGCCTCTGCAGTTGCAGCTTTCCATTATGTATGTGAAAGTTCTTGTCATATGAAGTCCATGGATACAGAAATGTATTCTCCTGGATGGGTGATCCAGGAGCATGTGATCGAGTCTCTCTCATACACAGCAATACCCAGTAACAGAGTCTATGTTTTGTAGACAGGGCTTTGTGTCTGATTTATCAGTCTATCTGTGCTGACAGATGGAATTATGGCAGAGCTAGCAGGCATGTTCCCACGCAGTCATAGGGTTAAAGGCGATGTAAACCCAGTCGCTGTAAGCTGTACAATGTCAATGCCATTTTCAGTACTCTCCTACCATGCCATTTTCAGTACTCTCCTACCACGCCATTTTCAGTACTCTCATACCACGCCATTTTCAGTACTCTCCTACCATGCCATTTTCAGTACTCTCATACCACGCCATTCAGTTGTCATGAAATAATCCTGCCATGAAGGTCCTTTCTTAGGCACTTCTTTTTATAGGGTGACAACGCTGTGTCCCTGTTTCCCATTTGTGCTCATACGTTGTCACTTAGACTTTAAACCAATACTACATTTCAACACACGTGACACAGACATGATCCTTTGTTGTCACCCACTCTGAGAAATGACAAGCAGCCATCACTGGAGTGCATGTAGACCGGAAGTGGCTGCAAAGAGGATGCAGGTGATCCGCAACATTGAGCTGCAACGAATGATAAAAAAGGAGAAAATAAGGGTTTTGTTTAAAAAGTAAAAAAAAAAAAGAAGAAGCTAATTCACAGTGTTTAGCAAACTCGACTTCAGTGTTTACATCTGCTTGCTTCCATATAGAGAGAGGCAGCAGTTTAATGACACAGCCAATTTGCTGTCGGTTTGTGTTTATTCCTGGGCTGTGTGATACATGTAAAGCGATGGCTGTGGGTCACCTTCATTTAATGCCATAAGTAGTACGTAGCGTCTGGGTGAGCCTATTGTGTCTGGCTCTCCTCAAGCCTCTTCTGCATTAGATCAGATTTAGGAAGCTTTCATTATATTTCATCTGTTCTTCTTTCATAACTGAGCTCAGGTATGTAAATAGGAGGTGCCATATCAATGTCCCCCTGACCTCCAGCAGGTACATTATGAATCCAGCAATGATTCTATGCTTTCTGATATGAATGTATGCTGCAATAATAGAATGACTTCTCAATGTCTACTTTCTTATACTGTATCTGCATTCTCATTGCTGTGTAACGGGCCACTGATGTCATTGCTGTGAACGCGGCAGACAGACGTTGCTTTAAAAATAAATAAAAAGCATAATTTTGATATGTCCATGCTGAAACCATAGCAGAAAAGAATTCATTCCACAGATGATATCTTATACAGAGTGTAGCCGGGGATTCATGTGACATTACAGAACACAAAGCTGCAGTCATCCTTTCATTGATACTGCCTCAGTCATTCTATGATGTAAGGCACTTCCCATTGGTTTCTAAGGACCATTTCCATGTTTTCTAGGAAGGATTGCAGCACAGGGTAAAAGGAAAGGTTTGCCTGTGAAGGCGCTGGGAATTCATGTAAACATAACATGCAAACTATGTGTCTTTTAAAGCTGAGCTCCAGCTACATAAAGCAATCATTTATATATAACCCTAAATAGCCACAAAGATATAATCCACCCACTGTAGGCCGCATGTCATGTTACGCATGCTTTGCGATATGACTTTAAATATTTAATTGCTTATCTGTCCCTGGTATTTACCTCCAGCCGTGCCCAACGTTTCGTTTTTTTTACCCTGTATAGATAGCTCCACCCTTCTTCATTTTGTTCCAGTCTGCATCTCAGCCACATGTCCTTTGCTGAGTGGATCACATTATGATCTTTTGACCTAATCCTATGTTCGCTGTTATAAAGATCTGCACAGTTTATATGAAACGTCTTAACGATCTTTAAAGTATTAAACTCTCAAACATTTTCTCAATAATGAATCCAGATCAAACCAAAATACATTTTGAAATAACCAATAGCAGGCTGGCTATTGCTCCTAGCCACTGCCTGATGTGTTTGCAGGCAGCTGTCATTCCAGAGCTAAAGCTATCGAAGTGGAATAGTGACACTAGGGGTCTAATAGAGAGAGAAACCTGTCATCTCTAATGTGCTATCCACATAGGGGGGCTTGTGAGCAATGAAGTTAAGCAACAAAACAAAACAAAAACTTTACAAAAATAAAGTTAAATAAAACAAAATTAAAAATACCCCCCCAAAAATTGAAAGTTCCCTACCCCCGCGAACACACGCATACTAACGGAAACACAAGTTGAGTGCACCTACATACAAAATGATTAAACTGTAAATTAAACTGTAATAGAATATTACAACTGTCATTGAAAATAAAGCTTTGTGAGTTAAACAAAAAAACTGGCTCCTAACTTTTTAGCTGGCTCCTAGACTCGGAGCAAATTTGTCAAGCCCTGGTTTAAGGTGTCATCTGGATTGAGTCGCTGTCTGCCAACACTACTGAGATTGTAAGTTATAGCCATCTTACCACAACTGTAGGTTACAGAGATCACACTTTCAATGCTTTGACTGCGGAGGCAGAACACTGCCTGCAGAAAACTACAGGAGGGGGCGGATACAAGACCAGTCACCCTGCACAAGGAGAGATAGCAGCAGTGAGCAGTGTGTGTTCCTGAAACTGCTCCAGAGCTTGTGTTTTTTTCATCTATCCCAGCCCTCCTGGCTCCTTCCTGGGGAAGCCATGGAGGCCGGCGGGGCCTCTCCTGCTGGGAGCTCTCAGTCTCCTGGGCTGATGAGCGAGTTGCCTGCACCTGTGCAATCGGAAGCTGGAGATTTGTCCGCCCCTGGTGAAGGGGAAGGGGCCGCATCCGTACGGGAGAGAGTGGTGGCCGGCATAAAATCCCTGAACAAGGAGAGGGATAAGCTTTACAAATTTTGTGGGGTACCAGTGGGGCTTCCACGTGAGCCGCCTATGCGGATGATGTATCTGTGATTATCACCGGGACGGATAATCGGTCTTTATTACAGGACGTTCCTACACAGAGGTAAAGTTTTACATTGAATTACTGCACAGATCCAGAGGAAATACACAGAGCACACTAAGATTTAAGGCAGAATAAGCATGACATGAAATTCCTTTGCTACTCGGCTACATCTAGTGGCCGTAATGCACTGAGAATCTCGTTCGCATAGCCGTTTGCTCTGCCAATGGTTTATAAATCACCCCTATGCGTGCACCTTAGCTTGCATTTAGCATAGTGGATTCCATCGTTCATGTGCAAAAGTGATATGCGGGTCATACATTTCGAATGTTTAGGCAATTTTAACTTTTTTTCAGCCCTGTCTAGCCAGTGTTTAGTGGATGAAGGGAACCTGCCGCCAACAGTTTCTAATAAAACCATGCATCTGTTTGGTTTCCATTACAATTAGAGCTGCAACAATTATTCGATTAAGTCGATTAAAATCGACGATGGAAAACGTTGCCAACGTTTTCCATCGTCAAAAGTT